TCATGTTCACAAAACAATCTCCAGGAGCTTTATTGTACGTCATCCAGAGCTCCTATGTTATAATGACAATGTCACAAGTACTTATATGGTTTCTAATTGGGTTAATCACAATCTAGGCATATTAAACTGGATATTTACTTTGTTAAAGAAAAAGTACAGGCACAACAATTGGGGGTAATATATGTTATCATTCAAAATCAATTAACTGACATTTTCGACAAGGGACTCTCTTCTACAAGGTTCAATCAGTTGCAACCTCCAGCCTCCCCGGGGTTCTAGTCTCCTTCCAGTTCCCATTCTTCCAAATATTCCAGTCTCTTCTAAGAAAACCTCAATGAAGATGAACAAAAGGGATGCTAATAAGTAAAGTACATGAAAGTACAGAACGGCAGAGAAAGAAAGAACAAGACCTGAGTGACATCTTCTGCGATATTTACGGTGTCGACCTCATCCTCTTCATCTTCTCTGCGTCTGATGGTTATGGGGAGCAGTGAAGCAGCTTCCTTTTCGGCTCTGGTTTTGGCTTGGGCAGAGATTGCTGGTAAACGTAACGTGGCAGCGAATGCGCCATTGATGAAAGCAAAGCTTGTAGAGTTGAAAGGCCTAAAACAGTGCAGTTTAGGATGAGTAATGAGGGGCTGGAGTGGAAGATGGAACGAAGGAGACGATAGCGCCATGTTGGTCAAGGGAGGTTTTTCTCAGAGGTTTTAGATTGGGTTTTCTGTCTTGGAAAATAAAAAATAAAATAATAATAATAATAATAATAATAATAATAATAATAATAACAACAACAAAACGGTGCAGTTTGGACTAAAACGGTGTAGTTTGGGGTAGTTGGATTGCAACTCGTGCCTAAATTTTTAAGTGAAAAATTTTTAATTTCAATGAAATTTAGTCAATAAAATTACAAAACATTTTAAAAGTGGTGTGATTTGAACTCATCTGCCAAGTGTACTGGTTCAAATAAGTACTATAATGATGAATTTGGATATCGTTTTACAAAAATTAATATAATAAATATTAAAATCTCAACTGATTAATATTATTTAACTGATAATTAAAAAAATTAATATAAATTAATACTTAATTAAGAAATTAATCAATTAAAATTTATTAACAATCGAGATATAATAACTGTTAAGATCTCATAATTCACTTTAAATTCAACTGCAAATTTCCTTAATTCAATCTATAAGAAAAAATTTTCACCCAATTTCATTCAATCATTTAATAATCTTTTTTTTAAGATTAATTACCCTATCTAATTTATAATAACACACATCTCTATGGTTAGTATGAATCGGTGTATTAACATTCAATAATCAAATATTGTTAAGTATCTCTACTCATATTTAATCTATTGTGTTAATTTAATATTCTAATAAAAAATCAATCTCTCAATTCAATCATTTATTACAAATCAATAAATAGATAATCAATTTATTTATGCATTAAATCACACGATAACACATAAGAATTAGAGAAAAAGAATTTTCATAAATTAAATAATGAAATAACAAAGTATCTCTTAAACTTTCATCAAAGATTATAACAAAGTAGTTTAGTTACTCATTCTAAATAAAAATTGTAAGAATCAAATCTAATGAAAACATAAAATAACTTACAAAATAAAACCCTAGAGAAAAGGCTTTTACTCTCTGAAGCCGTTTTTTTTTCTTTCTCTTTTTTCTTATTCTCCCCTTTTTATTTATAGATAACCTTATATTTAAATAGTTCAAAACCTAATTAATTACAAAATTCAAATCTAGTATGGCCGTGTCAAATTAACACACGATCGTGTCTTCCTTGAAATCAAGTCAATTTTCAACTTGTAGACACGACATGGTTGTCTCCTAAGCACATGGCCATATCTCTTTCACCAAAAGAAGTAGAAGCATTTTGCTGATAAAACATGGTCATGCAGTCTAATTGTGTCTTAGCCCAATATAAGGCACACGACTGCATTTTTAATCACATGATCGTGTCTCACTTCTTCGCAGAAGCAGAAACGCTAGCTTCTTAATACATGATTCTGTGTTATGATCATGTCCCTCATATCTTCATGTTTTAGTCAATTTTCGTTCAAATTTTCTTCCAATCCACTCAAATTTATTTCTAAGTTCCAAAATCATTTTTTAAAATTGTCAAGAACAATTCAACAGTATATAAGACAAAAATCAATCAAAATTAACTCGAATAAAATAAGAAAAAATTTATAAAATTCAATTATATAAAAAATGTTAGCATATTCTTCATTTTAGATAATTTAATTACAATAGAATTTCAAATAATTTTAATTACAATAATAAATTTAGATGTTCCTGTTGGTAAAAGAATAAATCAACAAAAACATTGAACTAAATTAAACATGAAACTGATTTGAAATTAAAATATAATTTTTGTGTAAATTTTTATCTCATTTAAAATTATACTTTAAAATAAACTCAATTAAAAAAAAAAATTGCACTATTTTGCACTTACACTACAATAGAAAACTGTCTAAAATTTTCTCTTAATTTCTCTTAATTGTCAACCTAAAGCATATATATATATTTTTTTCTTAAAACTCCGAAAGATTAATGGTGAGGCATTGTGGTATTACCATAAACAATGTATATATATATATATATATATATGAATCTTACAAAAAGAATCAACGACCAAATTAAGGATCATTTATGAGGCCATAGGCCAGATCTGAGCTATCTTTCTTTCTTTTTCTTCTAATTGTTACAAGAACTTTTTAACTTCTATTCAAAATCTGAAATGAGATATATTTGCAACTGTCATCTGTCTGAGGAGAAACCTCATGGAGTTTCTTGGTTAAATGCTATAAATCAGCAGGGTCAGCCAAAACAACTCACCAAAAGTTTCTAGGTGATGGTACTGATAATAACCCTCTCTCACGACCGCGAACAGAATGAGAGAAACGCCAAGTTCTGTGTATCTTCCTCTTAAGTGCAGGAACCTTATGGGCCACAGCCTGCCATATCATTTGGATAGCATCATCCTCTTTCGAGGGGTAATGGAACTCATAGAACTTTTCAACTTCCTTCAACCTTTGCCACATTTGAGTCCATTTTTCTTTTTTGATGCTCCTAACAAGGTTTATAAGGAACTTTTCTTTGAGAGCATCTGATGTGCGAACAAATATGCAGAACTGAGAGTAGTCGAGGACATCCTCATAAGGGAGCTCAATCTCATCACTGATGATGACAGGAACACAATGGCTAGCAATAGCATCAAAGAGGCGATTGGAGGAGGGAGTGTCCCCTGCTATATTGAGACAGAATTTAGAAGAGTGCATTCCGCGACTAGCTTTGCTAACTCCATCTTTCTGAACACTTCCGAATGAGAAATGAACATCTTTCTCATCCCGAAGAAGATAAAATAACTCCTGCCTAACAAAGCCACCCTGGAAACGGAAAAGCCAAAAATCATGGAGCAATGAATTAGAGAAAGCAGAGCTGATTGAAAGAAAGAAAGAAAGAAAGAAGCTAAACAAGTATACAAATTAAAAAACAGTGCAGGCAAAACTAAAAACGTCGAATCACTTGGTCTGCAAGAAGACAAAAGCTGGAGAAGATTCCAACTTTATCAAGAGATTAGGGGTATCAATTAGTATGAAAGGGATCATCTAAGCAACAATGTCAGAGAACTGGTTACGAATGTGACAGTAAGGTATGCATAGGTACATACAAATGAATATGATATGCAAATATCAAGACCATGCCATTTAGGAAAGATGGTGACAACAGCATGCAACTCTAATGTGCCAACAAAGATCATCTTCAATCAGATCAATGCTCACAAAAGTCTTCCTAAATTCTTATCATCGTGGACCTTGTGAATTTGCAGAACTAAGATTACCAACAGGAAAACTTCTGAATATACAACTTTATGGTAGATAAATGCAGAGACAGCAGGAGGCAATAGAACAGGCAGTGACATAGCATTGACCAACTCTAGCTGCAAAAATCTCCCTCAAATGTTAAAGAGACTGGCAAGTAGCAAGTAGGAGTACACCAAAAAAAAAAACATTTCAAAGGTCATGGTCAAAGCAACTTAAGTCTAATGTAAGAACATGCAGATCTATTTGCCTAGAGAAGTTTTACTCCTTGTGGTAACACATAATCACAGATCAGTTGATGCAAGTTGCAAAAGTTCTAAAAATATGATGGAAAACAAAAAAATCAATGACAAGCAGGTAATTTGAAAATAAGCCTGCAATAGAAAAAGGGGCGGGGTGAGGAGGAGGATGATGATCCTAAGTATGCACAAATTATATCCGTCAATTGCAGATTAATTATTTAGAATCTTTTTTGCACAAGCCATAATGGTCCCAACGTCATGTGCCATCACAATGAAAACTTGAATTTCTTCAACCAATGGGATATTTATTTGATAAACAGCTGTCTGTAAACAGATTGGAGAAACAGCTTTTTAGGAAGAACATTTTCCAAACTGTTCTTCTAGGAAAAAAAAAAGCTTCTCATGTTTCAGCAGTGACAAACTCAAAAAACAGCACCCCCTTAAGTTCTCAAGAAAAAAAAAAAGAACTTTTTGTCAGCTCTCCAGACATTATGGATTTTGACTTCATAAAACTTTTGAGTAACTGCTAAGTAAAATAAACTCCATTTTGGGACCACCCTTGCCAAATATCTGCATTATCAAGCATCTCCTACCCTGCAGTAGAAGGGTCTGATATCTGCACCAAGAAGAATACAGAACAATAGTGAAAGAATAGGAGTGCTGTTACAATAATAAGAAAGAATGCCTATCGTATACTAGTCTGGAGAAGGACCATTACAAGGCAGAAGAAATTAAGCTCTTCTTACTATTTGAGTTTAGATTTCTATTGTAGGAGTTATTAAAGAATAAGACAAGATAGAAAGTTTAGGTTATCTAGGAACAAACTAAAGTGAGATGTTTGAGTTATGTAGGAATAAGAAAAAATAGAAGTTTGGATTTGATTAGGAATTAGATTCTACAAGTTAGGAAACAACAGTAATGATTTTTCCTATATATGTAAGCTATTTTATCGACAAAGATCAGCGAAGAATTTCTTAAAAGAAGTTCTAGAGTAGCTAATTTAAGAGAGCCAAGAGTTCTCCCCAACGAACCCACACTCCAAATTCAAAATAGGTCGCAAAGGAAAGAAATCTGCAAAACAAGCAGCCTTCTTGGTTCAAGATTTCAACCTTAGCTGATGCATAACAGGATCACAAACTTACAGCCATATCATGTGCCCTCATTCACTGTAGCTTCCCACATTTAATACCTTTGCATTAAAGGAAAGAAACCATGATTCTTAAAAGATGTTTCCCTGAATAATGCATTGCTTCTTGGACCTAATGTCCTTAAAGAAATGTACTCTAGCTGCAAAATCTTGGTTCAGCCTAGGAGACCAAAGTCACTTCAAATGTTTTTAACTTTCGGTGACTTGAGAACTTTGAACATAATTTTTCAGAAAATAATTGATATGAGAATAGCTGATCTTTCCTGCATCATGTAAATAGGTGATGTTTGCAATGTCATTTAACTGTCCTGGCATGCATACAACCTAAGAGATCTAAGTTGCTTCATATGTTAATATCATCACTTAAGACCTTTACATGAATAAGAACCAAGAAATTATTTCTTCTCAAAATGATATAGTTACTTGAATTTGTATGGGAAACAATCAGCAGAACAATGTAGGGTAAACGGTGAACTTACATCTTTCCTGTATATGGCTCCCTGAAAGTATAGCAAAGTTGGGCGGCTATCAAAATCAGATGAATCATTGACATATGATCTGATCATATGTTTATAAGGTGCAATCACATCTTTCTCAATGTTAGCTATATTTGGAGGATATCTTCCAAAATCTGAGAGTATAAACATCGCAGGCCACAGTTTCATTCTAGCACTTAGCATGCTGTTAGGATGGTGAGCAAGAATCACATGGTCCCGCCCACCTGACCTCTTCCATTCTGTTTGGGATGTCAGAAACCTTACTAACTTCTCTTGCAACACATTGTTCCTGCTCTTTTTCTGATGTGGGTTTACTTTTGAAAAGCGGTTGTAGCTCAATGAGGAAAAGAATGGTACAAATACAATATCAGCTTCACTTGAGTTTCGTACTCTTATTGCAGCACGAGCATTTGGGATAATTGGAATTTCTGAAGCAAGGAGGTCTAACGTCAACCAGTATTCAATACTATGCTGCAAGTTCAATCCCCCAGGATATGGTGGTATAGTAGTTCGGATGTCAGGCCAAACATGATTTCCTTGTGGTTTCCAATCTAGTAGTCCAAAATGGAACTCTGGGTTCATATCATACATGTAAACCCTGAGGGATGTTTTATCACTCATTTCACATCTACATTCATCTTTAGTTTTTGCTGTTGCTTCTTCCTCGTCTACTCCATTATTCCCAAGTATTACTCGATTTCCAGGTGAGGATTCAGCCTTATTTAGATTAGAAACTTTGGAATTATCATCGTCAATTTCAGCAACATACTTAGAATCAGGTAACGAGTTAGAAGTAACAAAATGGTTACGACCAGTCGAACCCAATACGGAGAACCAGGAAAATATGAGAAAGAGTGATGAAAATGTAAACAAGCAAATCAAAGATCTTTTGGTAATTAGCCCCACTGTGGAGGCATTCCTCTCAACCATCGCAAAGCTAATGGAAAGGAATCAACAATAATTTGTAAGAAACACCATCACCATTTGGAAAAAAAGGATAATGTACAACACAGAGAAAAACATACACGAGAAACAACGAAGATGCTGGACAACAACAAGTATGATTGATAAGGAAATGAAGTAGCAACTACAATGACCGATTTGCAAAGTTAAGGGAAGATCAGGGAATTAGCTAGAAGGCATTTTGAAAGGCACCTTAAAAGCTATGTTTCTGAGCCAGGAAAAAGGGAAACCAAAGCTCAAATGCAATAACATAATTGCAGCAGAATATCACATTGGTGTGCAGAGCTAGTTACCAAGCAATGACCGAGTCCCATAAACACCAATTGCTCACGTGAAGTCCCATTTTCTGCAAAACCAATTAGTATCCAACAAGCAGAAACTCCTCTAGGCTGAATGGAAGAGTAGAAAATTGATTTAAATTAATGACACAAACCACCAAACAAAAATGTTACGCCAAAATGTCACCAGTGACGATGCAACGAATTCTGCGTATTGTTGTTATTATAACATATACACAAAAGAGCGAGAGAAACAGCTCTAACAAGGAAGTAAAGCCGGTAATGAGCAGCGAAAGGAGAGAATCCGATCGAAAAAGATGGGAAAGAAATTGAAGGGGAAGGAGGTTTTGGCGGATGGCAGAGGAGTGATAACGGTGGATACGTAACCTCTAGAGGTAAAAAGCAAAAGCACGCAACTGTTATTTGTTTGAAACAATGGTTAACATGTAACTATATCTTCTCTCTGCTTATCTACCTCCCTCCCCATGTCAGTCTCTTTCTCTCTCTTCTGGTGCAGGAGGAGACTCTGAATTAGCGAGGGAATAGGGTCTTTCTGTTGAAGCGGGCGTTGCTTGTCTGAGGTTCTCTGGAGGGATTTTATTTTCTTTTTTATTTTTCTTTTAAATTTTATATTTATTTATTATTTTAAAAAAAATAAGAAAATAAAGTTATGTGATTTAAATTATATATTTTTAATTGAAATTTAATTATATTTTTATTTTCATACGTGTATATATATTTTTATATTATTTAATTTTAACACATACAATGACTGTTCTAACCCTCGCCTAGTCAGTGTACATGTTGGAAAGGCGAAACGTACCATCCATTTTTTATTTCTCCCTTATATAATATTATTATATCATAATTATATTATATACAATTAGATTTTTCTTCAAATTATATGTACACTTGATTATATTTTTTTACACTTTATAGAATAAAATTTAAACTATACTTTAATTTATATAGAATAAGAATCATATAAATTAATAATGACAACATAAACATAGTTAATTAGTTATATTATTCATATTTAATAAATATAATTTTTTTATTACTATTACTAGATTTCAATAATTAAATAGATTTAATATAATTAAATTAGTTATATATTTTAATAAAATTAAAACATTGATACTTGTATAATTAATGATTAACTTAAAAAATTAAGAAAGTTAATCACTAATACTAATTACGAAGTTAAGAATATTAAATTGCTTAGTATAATGTGCGACAATAAAATAATAAATATATTCTATTATTTATGAACATAAATATATAAAATTTTTAAACAAATATAGATAGTAAAATTTTTATTTATTTATAAAATATTTTTAAAGTGCAAAAACAAATTAAATAATTGTATGAATATTTAATATTTATTGATACTTAAATTTTAATATAACTAGTAAATAATCATATAAATAATATATTATGTTATTTGTCATTGTTTTCATAATATAGGAACTATTTGTATAAATAATAACTAAATTCATATAATGTGCTATATACCCGAATATAATTTTTTTTTTTTTTAAAATCTAATAATTAAATATATATATATATATATATATATATATCATTTTAATCATAGAAATATGAGCATATGAACTTGTTTAGGGTTTAAGTAGGCTATTTATTGCTTACTGGTCGCTTCCCTCTCCAACCTCTCCCCAGATCCAATAATGTTATAAAGCTTTAAATAAAACCCTATTCTCTTCATCTCCAGATCCAAGACAAATTCTACATTTCCAATGCATATCACATTTTATATTATATACTGCTTCTGTTCTTCTCTTATTTATAATAACATATAATAAAAACTGATGCAACCAAACCATAATTGTATGTTGGAGTTTCTCTCCAAAAAGAACTGACCCTCTGGAACTGTTTGATTCATAATTTATATTCATTTGATAACCATGGATCTCACATTCTTCTTTCTTCTAGCATACATATGTGAGGGTGGCAAAAATGAGGATGAATTAGCTTGCATCATTCATTAAATGTTACAGTATTACAGTACATGGCGAATTGTAATGATCCTATTGCCGTTCGAATAAACTCAATGAAAAATTCATCTCAAGTCTTTGAAGGGGAAACCAAGTACCAATTTGTTCCAATCTTCAATGGTAAAATTTAGAGCCTATAAGCTGATGGGTGGAAGGAAAATGTCATGTAAAGGACACACACAGAGTTATTTGCATTGTCATCCAGACAGAAGAATCAGAACTGGAATTGCATTTCGGGTGTGTATCCAAGAGCTTCAAGGTGATCAGTCATGGCCTTGTTCATGGGGGGCGGCCCACATCTCAGTATCTGTCATTATATCATCAAAATCAATGTTCTGTATCATTTCTTAATTCTCTTATTCTTCAACTTAAACGGTGTTATAAATGTTCAAAAGCTCAACCAAGAAACAAAAATGAAGGAAATAAGTGATTATTTTCTCT